TTTACCCAAAATCAGGCAAAGCAGGAAGGCAGATTGAGTTGTTCACAGAATCATTCAGCGTTCTATCTATCTGCCATTGGCTAGCTCAGTCTCTCATATTGGCTTGCTGTGAGTCTGCACTGAATAATAGAACCTTCAGTCAGTCCTAAGGGAGATTTGGCTGTGCTTAAAAACAAAGCCTAAGATCTAAAGACTAGCTAGAAAGCAAGAAATCAAACCATTTCCTGCTTCCTAGCTAATCTAAATCTCCAGGCACAGCAGAACAGATGATGGTTGGAAAAAGGAAAAATAGCAACTTAGCACACAAGTTTGCCAGATAAGGAGTGAGTGGGTGGGGAGGGTTCCTGCGGGCCATGTGGGCAGCGCAGCCTTGTGTTTCTGCTCAGCCTGGATTAATTGCTTTGGGGGGTGCTCTGGGGTTGAGATTTCTCTGCGGCCCACCAAAATTTTCTCATGGTGCACCAATGGGCTGCGGCCCACTGGTTGGCGACCGCTGGTCTAAGGTATATTTAAATACTGTACAGAAGTTAAGAATTTAAATCCCTAACTTGGCCCATGACACTTGAAATCCAAAGCATCAATTGTTTCAGAGTTTTAAAAAGTAATCTTTGAGGTAGAGAATGACTCACCTGGTGTTAGCTGAGAGAGACAAAGGTAAACTCTGAGTATGTTCAACAGCTTTATGCTGGCTAGCTTCTGTGAGTGACAAAGAGAGAGAGAGAGAAGGAAAGTATATGTCATTGACAAGCTTAAGCTTTGGAGAGAACATTAAAGTTCTCTAAACATGAATGAAGGTAAACTATTGTTCAAACAGGGAACTATTTTATCTGCAGTCCAAATACCTTAATAAATGTATACAATTTTTTTACATGACATTGTACTGGGTATGGATAGAATTCTCACAAAAATAATAGGGTTTTAACAAGAGTAACTCTAATTTACGGTAACTTGCTCATGGCAATCACTTCTAGCTCAAAATATATACTTTGCCATCTCTGCTTATCTTTGCCTTTTCTTTACTGGAGCAGGGAAATGTAAAAAAAAAACCTTGCATGCCTAGCCCAAGCAGACAGATAAGTGTTTTTGGATGTGAAGGAAAAAAACATGATATACCTTCCCTTCCCACATTTTCTACAAGAAAAACTATGAGGGTGCAACTAGAAATGGAAGGGTGTTGGGTGTCCTACTTCAAATAATGACTGCCATTTCAAGGAAGAAGAGCTAGTTTTGTTCCCCTCCTAAGAAATTTGTTTCTGTTTAGAAAAATAAACACATTTTTTTACTTTATGCTGATATTTTACACCTAAGTATTAGATATCTGGGAGATTGATGAGAAAGACTTAACTTACGCCTGCAAGCCTGTAATTGGCTGGTCAATACTTTTCTAATTTCATTTACCCAGGTAGCTTTGATTTCAGGAGTTGCAGCCTATGTCAAAAAGAAAAAAAATCCCAGAAATTTAATTCGTTTGTCCTTCTTCAGGCAGCCAGTCAAAAAGAAGAGAATTTCAGCAGATAATGTTAGAATTGTGTCAAAACTGGCAAGCATTGTGACAAAGTCTTACCCCTTTGTATGTGTGTGCAATATTGATAAGTATCCCCTTGTATATTTAC